AGTGACACGGATCTCATCGCAAACGCTTCATGTCACTGTCACGTGAGTCTTTGTGCTATTTCTCTGAGAAGCAGAATAAAAGTTGGGAAACCTTTTTCTGGTGCGCAGAAATCTGATGGAGGTATTTGTCTTTTGGGAAAGAGAAGATTTAATTTTTGCTCTGTGAAAATGTCATGCGAGGGTTGCCCCACTCTGAGTTGACCTTGGATATTCTAGAGGCTGTAAATGATATTTTTCATGTAGTCCATAATGTCTTGAAGTTCTGGGATTTTTTTTTAAATATTTTTTATAAAGTGGTTCAATTTTTTGCATGATGAGGAGTAAAAACATTCCAGTTTCTGCTGGAGTTCTCCACCCATGTAAAAAAAAAAAAAAATAAAAATAAAATTAGGCTAAAAAATGTAAGCCTACCAAAAAAAAATTGAAACTTTTCAGTTCTTTCAACCATCATCTTCTCTACATTTGTGAAATTTTCACATATTTTTAAACAATCATTTTGTTCACAACAATTAAAAAAACGAAAAGCTTCTTGCTTGTCTTTTCAATGTGTCCCTTGTATACTGTATTTTAATTTCGTCAACGGAGGCTCGAGTATTTTAAGAAAAATATTTTGGTTTTCAATTTTTTATTTATTTTATTATGTATTTTATTTATTAGGCTCCACGTCTGAAACCTGAGCAATTGTTCGTGGAGACGCTAGTGAGCATTGGGAAGCGGTTGGGGACTCTTGGGTCCAAGGATGCCAAGACGCAGGTACGAATTATTATTATTTTTTTATTGAGAAAAACAAGTTTTTGTGGATCTGAATGACATGAGCTTTTTTTTTGTTGCAGGGATTGAATGCAGAATTGTGCAAGTTGAACCTGAATTTGCCTGCCAAAGTTTGGCTGCCATTCCGTAGGACTCCACCACACTACATTGTCCGCATCCCGCCTCAAGCCGCAGTTGTGCTTAACTCTAAAGACAAGGCTCCTTATTTAGTAAGTTTGGATGAGGAAGATTTTCATGAAGTTTTGTCAAATTTTCCCCTTTTGATGAGAGGATTTTCTCTACAGTTTTGCGCCTTCACTTTAAAAATGGGCAAATTGTAGTCAGATGAAGCATGTGTTTTCATTTCAGGAACAAGGTTTGAATTCCAAGATAAAATATCCTTTAATGTATACAATCAAGTTGAAGATAATTTTTTAAATTGTGAACCACTCCTGTGCGCTGGGAAGATTTTCTGAACTCCCTAATTGGTAAAATTTACGAGATCACATCCGTTTCATCTCAGGCTTATTTCTTTCTTTCGAAAATTAAGCTCTCAAGAATAATTTTACTCGTTTAATCATATAATTTGCAATGATGCAAGTTCACATCTTTTACAACGCGTTTGAAGCCGTCAAATTTATGTCAGGTCGAGCGTGAAGATTCATTTTCAGAGACTTTTTTTTTTATTCCGAGGGAAATGGTCGTCAAAGTCTATTCAATTCAAAGGAATAGTTTAAATTTTGAACCACTTCTGTGGCGTTTGGAAGATTCTCTTACACGATTGGATGCGTTTAATGTAAGGGACTTCTTTTTAAAAACGGAAATAACGCGTTCATTGGTTTATTCATGTGTAAAATTTTCTGTGTCTTCAAGGTTACATCTTTTACAGGTTTTTAGACTCGCCATTTGTTTTAGATGACGCTTGAATATTCATTGTTTTTCATTTCTTGAGAAAACGGCATCGAAATCTATTCAATTTAATTAAAGGAAACGGTTTTAATTGTGGACCACTTTTGTGCGCTGGGTAGATTTCCAGCATCCTCCAATTTGTAAATTCTTTGAGATCACATCCCCCGCTGGAAGCATTCGAAAGTTCTGTACTATTATGCATTTATTCATTGAATTTTTCAATTTTTAAAAGGAAAAAATTTCTGCAGGTTTTTACAGAGAAAATGAATTTTACTCTCCTCAAAAAACGATTTTTCCCCCTTTTCCTCCCGAAAAAATAAAGGTGTATGTGGAATGCGTGGACGTGGACAACGTGGAAACGTCGTTGGTGCCGCCGAAAATGTCGACAGCCTCGTCGTCTTCCGCGTCTCGTCTCCGTCAAGTCCGGTCGGAAGAAAACCTGGCCTTGGAGGACTCGACGTCTGGCTCTTCGTCGTCAGCAGTGTCGACACCGCAAGTGGTGACGGTGCCGGGGACGGTCAGTGGGTCTGCGGGCGGCATTGGGCCAGTGAGCATGGACCCAGCTGGCCCGAGGCCGCAAATAAATGTTGTGATAGACGACGAATACGCGGATTGTTGGTCGCAGGAAGAGGATGAACTGTCTCGTCAATATTCCGCCAGGTTTGTTGATTTGTCTTTCGGAAAATTTTGTAATATCTGGCATTTTTATACAGTATTTTGAAATGCAATCGAACTTCAACGGTCCCCCAAGAATTGGTTTGAGTTAGTGAGTTTTCGAGTCGTGTTAGAAAGATTGAAGAATTACAGAAAATTGTTATTGGTGGAAAATCTACTCCTCAAATGACTTCTTAATAAAATGATGAAATTCTCATTAAAATATTACCCGAAAGACCTCCAGAAAATTTGAGTTCGAGAAGCCTTCAAGTTAGCGAGGTTTTTCGGGCATAGTTTCTAAAGAAAATCATTTGCATCATTTTGTTGCTGGACTCGAGAGCTTTGATTTGCTTCATAATTTGTGAGGAAAAAAAAGAATTTATTTTGCCTGAGAAAAGACCTGAACACTCTTTGAAGAATAATCGGATCGTCTCGTGCTTCACGTGTTTATTAGTTTTTTTTATTTTTTAAGGCTGACGCGGTTTACAGAAAGGGATTCAGTTTCTCAGTTCAGCATGGAAAGCATAGCAAGTGGAGGAGGATCTTCGGGGGCATCCGAACCCGTGTACATTGCAGCCGGGGATGTGCGTCGTCGTCTCTCGGAATGTACGTCCGCGGACAAGCCGGCGTTCAAGACGAGGGATCCCGAGGATCCTTCGGCGGCCGTGCTCAAGGAGCCCTATGAGGAGAAGGTTCGAGATTTGACGCAATTTTTCAGAATATATTCAAGTCCGTGTTTGAAGGGGATAAAATCGTGGGACGGCTTTTCCAACATTTGTTCGACGTCCTTTTCGTTGTGTTTTGAAGAACCCCGAATTATTTTTTATTGTTTATTTAAATTGATGCTGAGAAGAATCATGCGTGAAATATTGGCAACAATTTGAAGATTTTTCAGAATATTTCAAGTCCGTGTTTAAAGGGGATGAAATCGTGGGACGGCTTTTCCAACATTTGTTCTACGTCCTTTTCGTTGTGTTTTGAAGAACCCCGATTTATTATTTATTATTTAAATTGGTGCTCAGAAGAATCATGCGTGAAATGTTGGCGACAATTTGAATTTTTTGCGAACCTATCTAAGATTGAAGTGTTCGCTGATTTTGAGGATTTATTTGTGCTTCAATTTAAGGTTGTTTGTCGAAGAACATCATTTCTTATTATCAAATTACTGTATGATCTTAGATTTTTAAACTCTAAATGCTGTGGAAAATTACACTTGACTAAAAGATACATGGTCAGTTTTATTGATTCTGCAAAAATCAGTCATATTTACTTTTTTGAGTTGAACGCAACTTTTTAATCTTCAGACACAACGCAGTGATATTTAATAGACATTTCCCGCGTAATTTGAGAATTTTTTGAGCGATGAGAAATCAAGCATGAAATAACAGCTAAAAGGCTGAATTTTTCTAATTCTCAGCGGGCCGATATTTTCATTGCTTTTAAGGTGCCTTGAAGATGGTCAATCACAGACATATTTTTAATTTCTGCTTTTTTGTGATCACTGCCGAACATAGTGTATTTTTTTCAAGCATTCCATCTCAGGAAGTCGAAATGAATTGTGGATTTACTCTGAAGGTCGTGGAAATGTTGGAAAATAATTATTCACTTCTGATGACAGTTTGCGAGTGACTTGCGAAAAGTATTTCTCACTCGACCCTGGGTTTTGTGTTATTATGATGGGACGATCCCTGATGATGATGATGAATGTTTGGTCTAGATCACTGGCGTTTGTTTTTAAATTTATTTCTTGTGGTGTTCATGTTTTTTTTTTTTGTACAGGTGGGTAGAGTGAGAGACGGTTCTCCTTATGGACACATTCCAACGTGGAGACTGGTGCCTGTGATTGTCAAGTGTGGGGATGATTTGAGACAGGAGCTGATGGCCCAGCAGGTCCTGGAGGTGTTTGCTGAGGTTTGGGCCCAAGAACGGGTTCCCTTGCGGATACGGCCTTACCAGTGAGTATAGAATCTCGTTACTGTATGCAACGAATAATCGATCACGATGAAGCTATTTCACTGAACCCATGGCTTCGTCTGAACGAGATTTCACTGTAAAAAAAGGGAATTGTGAATTCATTTTATCCGCATTGGGTGTCATGGCTTCATTTCTTTCTTGTTCATGTTGAGGCGAGTGGAAAAAACCTTTTTTTGAAGACAGTTCAGAAATTATGAGGAATCTCTTGCTCAAAATTATTTGTCAAGCATCTATACAAGTCGAACTTCAAGGGAACTGTTTCACTTTCTCATGAAATTTCCGGCAGGTGTCGCCGCACTCAAATGTGCCAGACTCACCCAGTCTCATCATCATATCTAATTAATAAAAATAATTTTTTTTTAAAACTTCAAGCGACACCTGTGCAAAAACTTGAAAGTAGAGTTTTTGACGCGAGTGTGAAGAACCCTTGAATTTGTAATTCATTATCTATGCATTTTTTGGTGACTTATTCCGTGTGGAAATGCGAAGATACGGTATCATGTTTGTTTTTCCCCGCTTTCTTTGTTGTTTTGCAGTATTGTGGTGTTGTCACAGGACAGTGGCTTGATCGAACCCGTGCTGAACACGATGTCTTTGCATCAGATCAAGAAGCATAGCGGGCATTCCAGTCTGGTGCACTATTTTTACTCGGAATTCGGTCCCCAGAATTCAGAGGCCTTCT